ACAGGGGATCCAGTAGTTGAACCAGTCTTAGTCGGAAAGCACGGGAGATCACTTCGTCCACTGCCTCATCGCCTTTGATAATGTCCACCGCAGTTGTGGACGAAACGTCCGGAAGAAATTTACATGGACCACGGCTTCAAAGCCCGAAAAACAATTCTAAATGTGATTTGACCGGCCGTGAAAGCGTTCGTAGTTCTGGTTAAAGTTCCATTAGTACTGGATTGAAAGTCATCGATTCGTTTGCTGTGCAGTGATTTGGGGGAAGAATTTCGAAATCCGAAGATCGATTAAGCAGATGCGCAAAACCAGTAACACTTTAAATGATGAGAGACCCAATAAATGTGAAAAGGAATTTTTGCCATTAAACAGCATAAGACATAAACAAGTCGAAAGAAGACACATGACAACAGTAAATTAAGAAGCCAATCATCGCGGCATGCAACAGCACCCTATGCTGATCCGTAATCAATTTAATTTAAAAGCGAATTTAATTTCAATTTATCATAATATCCTGCCTTGTTCTGCGTATTATAAGACTATCGTAATGATGATTCGGCCGCGGTTCATAATTATTACGGCTTTATCGCCGTATAAATTAATCATGCGATTAATTGTAAAGCTTAATAAACGATTTCGATCTGTTTCCAGTACGAGGATCGATCATAACTTAATTCATTATTATACAGCAAAAGTGTAAAAACAGTCACTTACCCAGCTTATGAATGGGCCACAGCTTTAGTTTCTGGCCTGGAGTATTTCTTACTGTATCTGAAACAAAAATTGGCACAGTAGAGATTAGTTAAAACAAGGGGTGTAATTAAAGGGCGGCGGCAAATGCGGGCTGGTCCAATTCAACAGGAGCATTTTCCACGTTGTGATTGCACCTGCTGTTGCAGAATGTCTTCCATATCGGAAATAGCAACTACCGCCCAACCCTTGTAGCAGTTAGTACCTAAACGCCAATATATGGGTCTTTAGTAACGAGTACAGGCCCCTTGATTGCATTCTGTTGTCTTGAGCAAATTGATTACAGTTCAAATTAAAGTTTTTGCCTGTCGTGATTAAACATGCACGAGTGGGTCCGGCAATCGGTCTATACCTACGTGTATGCGAACGACGCGATGCCTGGTCGGTTTTAATTACAAACTTGCCCGTTCACAATGCCTCTCATCTAATTCAATATGTTAGTTATTTTATATTGACTAATAACTTTCGATATCGAGGGTTAATTGGATTGCTACCGGGGCGGTTCGGTTTGTTTCGCCCTCCTGATCAGCCAAGTTCACATTTCATGTGCCTTTGCGACATGGAAATTGCCCTGATACGACCAATGTCGGTTCTCCAATCAAAATCAATCGAACTAATGTCACGCAAGATCGAATCTCCTGGCTACTAACCGGACAAACAAAAGCTGAAATGTGCGCGTCATAAATTCTGTATCCGCATCAAAATCGGTAATAAATCGAATAATCGATTTCCATTTTAAAGAATGGCTCCAAAGCATTAATAATGTAAAAGATCCAGCGGCATTCTATATTGACGCCACGTTATCTGCGTGAAAACAATACAGCATCCGCTATAAATCCCTGACTACGACTTTAATTCTAGGTCGAAAATGCATCATTATTTATGCGATTTGCGGTATCGATACCAATAATGTCCTGGTGTCTGACAACGTGGATTTTCGGTAATAAACTGACCGGTTTGAGAAAAAATTCCGGGCTATTCAAGGGGCTGAAGCAAAAAACAATTCATTAATCATTTCCTACTCAAAATATTTCTCTGGTTGTCTGAAGAACCATTTTCAGACCAAAAATACCCGGATCCAGTCATGCCCTGGGCACTCTCTCTTAAAAACC